CCAAACACAAAAAAATATCACAATAAATACATACATGAATTATGTAAGAATACAACGACAAATTATTTATTATGCAGTGCTTTTGCTGCATTTAAAATGCAACATTTAGCACTTTCGAACATATGTTTTCGAAGAGCGTTCATGCTATCGCATTTAGCAAATGTACATTTACGCGAGTTCGAAATCGTATATTTTGACAAACAGCCGTGTTCCAGTCGCTTATTCTGATCCGTATCTATTACGATAAATTCTCATGCGGAAGATAATGTGCAAAAACCCTACTGAAAAGGAAAAAATAAATTTTAAACCCAAAATTCAATATAAAAACTTTAATTGTTTGCGTATATATCAGAGTTGTGAAAAATGCATTAAATTTTTTAATGCATAGCATTTTAATGTAAATGAAAAGATTAATGCATTAATTTTTGATATTTAATGTAAATGAAAATTCCAATGCATTAATTCCGAAGAAATAATGCTAATGAGTTTTTTGTATTAACATTAAAATGTTTAAATGAATGCTATTGCAATAATTTATTGCATTAAAATTATAACAAGCATTAAAAACCCATTAACTAATTTTATTTTGAAGTAAAAATTCTTTGCTGACGTTGAGGGTAGAATTTTAAGGTCAAAAAAGATAGTGACGGACGTAAAGGCTGGTTTTCACTATGTCAAGTTCAATGGAATTTGTCGTTAAATAGGTAAAATCACATTGTCAAACGGAACTAAAAAACGGGTTATTGATTGATTTAGATCAGAGTAGGTCCTCAGTCATGTACATGCGCTGCTAAACTGGCTATCTGTCCGTTTTTGGTTCATACTTAATATATGTAATCGTATGCATCAACAATCAACATAAAAATCTTCAAAAGCATTCTGAGTTGCATGCACATTGGCTTTTATTTTCATAAAACATCTAACAATGTTTAGAAGAATTTTTCTACAAATACACATAATATAATAAAGCTGAAAAAACTATTAGTAATTATTCCAAGTCCTTCCAAAAGAGGTTATTTATATATTACTAGAAAAAAAATTTTATGGTTTTTAATAATGCAAACGAGCAAAAGCATTAAACATTTTAGTGCATTGAAATTTTTTCATTAGCATTAGCTTGGATAATTTAATGAAAAAAAATTCATTAGCACTATATTTTTAAGAATTAATGCATTGAAATATTCATTTGTATTAAATTTCATAAATTAATGCATTAATTTTTTACATTAACATTATTGCTTTAAATACCTTTAGTGCATTAAACAATTAATCCATTTTTCACAACTCTGGTATATATTCATTTGTCGGTGCTGTCAATTAAAATTTCCTCACTTAATTAGGAAAAAAAAACAAACAGAGTGGATCACAAATTGATCCAGATTTCTATCAGCATCACATCGACGTTGAATTTGCTTACCATTTCTTTATCCAAATTATGTAATATAATAAATGAAATCTCGATAGGCGATCACTGAAACGCAGTTAGCCACTGTATACTCGAAAAAGCAATGTTGCCACTTTTTCTCATTAAACCATGTTCGAATCGTGGAAATTTTGCAAGATCACAGGGTTGCTTTTAGCATTTAGATCCTTAATGTAAAAATGGAGTTGCATTTAGTTACATTTAGGTGACGAATTTTGTATGGGTAAATGTACATTTAGGGCCGGTTACTCAATGTCTGGTTAACACTAATCTCCGGTAAAACATCGTTATCGACGTTACCGACTCCATGTTATATGCATGGAGCCGAACACGTCGATAATGATGTTTAAACGGAGATTAGTGTTAACCACATATCGAGTAAACGGCCCTAACAGTAGCATTTAATGCTAAATGCGCTAAATGTGCTTTTACGCGTAAGCAAAAACAGCCCATTACACACTGAAAAAAGTAATGAAAACTATCAAAAAAGCAAAATCGCTACAGCGAAGAAATGGTTAGAAAACCGCATAAATTCAAATCCGCATAAAGAGAGACCTAAGTGTACTTGTATGGATGTACATACACATACACATAGTAATTTAGCCTCATTTATAAAAAATTCTTTTACGCACATGGTTTGGATGCTTTTTCCGCCGATAAGCACACTGCAAGCACCAACACAAAATGAGGTTGTTGTTTTTGTTTCCAATGCAATGTTCGCAAACCGCGCCACAAACGACAAGCATGCTCATTGAAAATTAAATTTTTTTTTGATTTTTTGCAAACATGTGCGTGAAACGCCCCACAAACGACGAACATGCACCGCAAGCCGAGGACATGTTCGTCGTGTTTGGACCCTGTTATCATGAATGGGCCTGAGCACACTAGCCTGCTCAGTCGGACTGAGCAGTCCACCACTCGAACGCACACTGGACTGGGCAGTCGGCCGAAAAGAGGTTTCAGTTTTGTATACATGAACTACGCATGATTGTGTTAGTGCATGTGGCACATGCAAACAAAACGAAATAGAAAACATGTTGCCTATGTGTGCGTGTCAGTCCACCGTCAATCCGCGATTTTCGCGGACTGAAATGAACGAGGTAAACTCGAACTCCCTTCCCCTCTTATCCCAACAAAATCGGTTTTAGGCGGACTGAGCAGTCTAGTGTGCGGAGGCCCAATGATCGACACAAGATCACGCAAGAACAGGAGAGAAAAAAAAATCGATTTTTTGAGCGGGTGCTGCACCATCTTGTTTCGCTGGAAAACGAAAGAAAAGTACACAAAGCAAAGAAAGCAACGAAAACCAAAGTTATTGTCAGCCATTCTAAACACACAATTTGTGTAAAATTAGTCATTAGAAAGCTTTCAAACGCATATATGTAATACTCCTATATTGGCAGTAAGAGCTAGTACCGTGCGAAAACACTACAGTACAGATATATCAACAAACACGTACGAAAGAAAAGGAACACATACGTTTATAAATAAACATGTACACAACACATATACAAAAACGGCACTCAAGTACACAATACATTGACAAAAATGGGTGGTGCTTGTCAAGAATGATAGAATACAAGATTGCGCCGATTGCAGCAGAATTCGTGAGAGTAATTTTAGCGTGACGTCATCGTAGAGTTGACAACTGAGAGCGGCGAGAATGAGGGCGACTAGTGATGTGCTGAATTGTCCCCAATACTCGGTACCCTATACTTCCTTTTCGGTATCCGATACCGATTATTTACATTAAACCCTCGCCATTATATGCATTTAAGGTTTAGAAAAAACTTTCATTACTAATTTATATGATATCGGCTAAAACACTTGAACTTATCGCCACAGAAAAATATTATTTTATCAGTTTTAACCTTAGTCGATCCAAGGTTCAAGAAAAATACTTTGACGGATGAAGAAGCCTTTCAGGGGAGAGATTCAGTAGCCAGTTAGCGACAAGTTTCGGATCGATATCGCACTTGTTGACTTACAAATATTTGATATCAAACGTCGACAAAACCGATACCGATTCGAAAATTGTCGTTAACTGGTTACAGAATCTGTCCCAGGCCTACAAAAATGATATCGTCCGATTCAGCTGGAACAAAAATGCTTCAAACAAGTAAGGGTTTCTCTGTATTATGGCATCGAACCGACATATATACATCTTTCATTTGAATCAGTAAAAAAGCTCTATTGGCTCTTACATTCGGGTTTTGTTAGGCGTTTTTTCCATATTTTTGGCCTATGTGCGCATTTATTCGAAACCTAAATGTTTCGGTACCGAGTATCGAGAGTATTGGGTACTTAAAAGTATTGACTCAGCACATCACTACTGCTGTCTGCTCTACTATGACGTCACCAAAACAGCTGATTCTGTCAAAATCACTGAGAGCCGAGTAGCGGTATCGTCATCGGCGCCACCTCTGTATTCTCTCCACCGTGGTGCTTGTGATGTTAACAAATGCTCAGCTGACGAACCTGCTTTCGCAAACTTTTTTCTCAAAACCAGTTACATATACAACGTCGCGTTCTTGCCTGATCTTGTATTTATGGTTCATGCCCTGTTACGCTGCAAGATTAATAATTCGTTGCGATGATTCGTGTGAGGTACAAGTGCTTGTATCAAAAGTAACGAGCAAAGTAACGATACGAAAGATACGGGTGTTGATTGGATTAGTATCGAAAAAGTACGGGTATCCAAAGTTTCGTTACTTTTACAGCTCTATCTACTGAATACCAGAATTATTAGATGAATCATGAATCATCTTAAGATAACAATTTTGTATCGCTGTTTTACTCGTCAAAATTGCTGTTTGATATATTTTGCTTAAAAAAGATCAGCAATGTAATTAACTTTTAAGTTTGTACATGAAAACTCGAATTTGGACGAAACAAAATAAATATTAAACCGGCTGATTGCCAAAGCGCGCAAAAAGATGGGAGTTGGCCATCTTTTCGCTTCACGCTGCAGCTTCAACGACCTATGTGGCATACTTTGTGCATTTTCGTACATTTCTCCTTATCTGTCAAAGCGAATCTATCACGCAAAGCGAAGTAAAGGTTTTATGTGGCATCAGCTTAAACGGTTACACATTTTGGATGTGTAGCAAGCCCCTAAAGGCTGATTCACATACAACTTTCTTCGCTTAGCTTGCTAGTTCTTTGCTTTGACATACAAGGTCGATGTAGGCATATGCATGAGTATGCTCACATAAAAAACGTTTGAAGCAAAGCAAAGCAGAACGAAGCAAAATCTTGGGCAACTCTCAACTTTTGCCCGCTTTGGCAATCAGCTGTCTACATGTATCTTTTTCGTGCGCTTGCATTTGCATTTAATGACAAAAATAGGGTAAATGGGAATTATTATTGCTATTATCAATGCATATTATTATATTGTTATCTATTTTACAGATAAAATATATGGAGGAAAAGGAGAACGCAAAAGCTGTCAAAGCGTTTATTGTAGCATACCTTCTGCGTTTCACGCTTTGTTGTCAAAGTTTGAACTGTCAAGCAAAGCGAAGAAAGTTGTATGTGACTGGCCCTTAATGGACTGGTGCATCGATGATGACGATATGTAGTACGGCAAAGGTACACTTGAAAGTTGTATAGTAAACATGCGCCGTTAAATAATTGTCTTTTATTTTGAACACTTTTTTCTTGTGTAGAAAAGCAAAATAAAAAACAGTGCAAGAAGAGTTGGCGTGTGGGCTGCAATCGCAAAAAGTCGGGCTTTTTCTGTATTTAGCCCGTGATTTAAGTGCGTGTGTTACGACTTAAAAGGACAAAATACGTTTGTTACAAGTTAACGAAAAAATACAAGTTTCTTCGACTAATACACCGCGGCCAAACAAGCGTTTAGCTTTATTTAGGTACCTCACTACGAAGTATCAAAAATAATCTCTGTAATAGCAAATTCAAAGATGTGTTTTTTTATGGTTTGATTTCATCACAAAAGTCAATTCAAGGTGAAAGCGATTTCATTCATTTAAATGAAATTGAGTTTTTCTATTAGATGTACGAGCGAAACTTTATTATAATGCACTCCTGATAAAAAAAAAAAAACGAAAGATGGGTGGTAGGATACAGTGTTGCCAATGCCTTAGCCTTTAAAGTATCCATAAAAAATCGAAAACTATCCAAATGTATCCACCGAAATGAGCGGACATTAGCCCTGTTCGCGTGCGCACTATCCAGTAAATCCAGTACTAATTTTACTGGTTTTTTACTGGATGTTGTTTTCGTACGCAAAAACTTGCAAGAAACTAGCAAAAGAGGGGAAATTGAGAGAGCGGTAATTCTCTAGGGTGGGGTAACAACGGGTACTGTTTAGTAAGTGGCCCACCTATTTCGGGGTATTGCGTCCAAAGGGGTGACCCGATCCAAAAAAAAATTGAATGCACTTGTAGCCAAGGGTCTACCCATTATTTTAACATCCACTATTGTAATTTTAGGTCACTAATTTATTTACAAATTGGGTTAGAAATATGCCCTTTTTTGTAAAATTCGGAAATTATCGTAAATTTATCACTCCTATTCTCCTTAAAGCAGCTACATCAGCAATATATTTTTATATTCTCCTTCACTTTACACTTTAATCGATGAGCTATAACTTTCTTTATAACTTTAATATTAACCAACTAATCACAATTTATTAAATAAAAACACCTTCTAAATCATGTGTCTGACTTTTGTTGCATATGCAAATTAAATGGCGTAGTTCAGCTGTCAAACTCCAAAATATGCAAAAGAATGAGAGACAAAAGAAAATAGGATATAACCCTGTAAGCATTAAAAATATACAAAGGTGTTCTCTGTAAAAGGTATTCAGCTCCTTTTCTTCGCAAAACAGAAAGGAGAATTCTACTGCCTGAGGGTTATAATCCCTAAGTGCGGCCGAAGGCCGCCTACGTAGAAAGGTGTTCTCTGCAAAAGGTGTTCAGCCCCCC